CAGGAAAGAAACTCAATTCCCATTCTTCCCTGGCCCTGGGCCCAGTTACCTGTCAGTGTCTTAAAAGCCTGTGCTAGCATAACAGAGGAGGGTCTCTGGAGGTATTTCACTAGGTTGAGAGCAGAAGGGACAGGGTATTTTAGGGTGATAAGGCACTATGTTAGGCATGGGATGATGAGTAGTACTGAGTATCGGGAACAAGGCAGGATTTCTTCAAAGAGCATTTGAGGGGAAAAGCAGAGGTATCTGGGTAAGCTGGCCTAGCCCTGATGGTGGCATAATATTAGATGCCACCAAACTTCAGAAACCAGACTTGCCTCAATATTGCTCCACTCCCTGCTCTGGCACCTTTGTTAGAGAGCTTTCCATTCTACCCACCTAAGGGAGGGGATCTGATAAAGGAAACAGAAGGCCCTGCTGAATGCCTCCTCTTGTCCCTCTGACCCATAGCTGGTTGATCTAAGGGCCAATCACTGGGCACAGGGCAGACACCAGGAAATTGGCATCTGATGCCTGGCATGTTGAGTTTTATCCTGGCCCAAGGGAGTGTGTTTTTTGGCAAACTTCCAAATCATCAGTAAGTAGGATGGCTGGTTGACGTGACTCGGAAGATGTCAACTTTTAGTAGAAGGCTAGCAGCGAAGTACTTTCATCACCTGGTACCACCTTGACTCTTCAGCCTTATCTCACATCATACCTTGCCATGCACTGTACATGCCAGCCAAACTGGACTCCCATTATTTTCCATCCACGCCCTGTATTCTACCACCTCTTAGCCATTACCCACACCGTCTCTTGTGCTTGGAATACATTTCCTCCCTCTCTTGTTGGATTTCCTTCCATTCTTCAGTGCTCAAATCTATTACCACTTTTTTTTTTGGCTAGGCAATGGGGTTAAGCGACTGCTCAGGGTCACACAGTTAGTAAGTGTTTTGTGTCTGAGGCGGGATTTGAACTCAGGGCCTCCTGAATCCAGGGCTGGTGCTCTATCCACTGTTCCACCTAGCTGCCTGTCTGTTGCCACCTTCTTGAGGAAGCCTTTCTTGACCCCTCAATCAGTAAGGACTGTTCCCTCTGACCTTACATAACACTCAGTTTGGTCCATCTCTGAGGCATTAAGTCCTAGGCTCAGGGAGTCCTCTAGCAGCAGCTGGTAAAGCCTATGGAGACCTCAGAAAAATGTTTTTAAATGCAAAAAATAAAATACATAGGACTACAAGGAAACCATAGTTTAGTGGAAATAAATATATAATTTTTTTCACATCCAAGGTCACAGACTTTGAAATCTATCCAAAGACTCCCCAGGGATACATGGACCCTAGGTTCAGAAACCCTCACCTAGAGTACAAAAGGACCTTAGAAGTTATCTAGATCAGTCTCCTCATTTGACAGAAGGGGAAATAGAGGCCCACGGAAGTTAAATGACCTGTCCAAGATCACCCACTCACAGAGACTGAAGTCTAAGGAAGCACCTCTATTCAAAAATCCATTATTCTTTCTACCACACCTTGCTGCCTCTCACATGGGAGAAAGGGGATGGATGAGATGACCTTTCAAGGTACCTTTGGTCCCTAACATTTAAGGACAGGATGGTGCTGCTGCCATGTTGGCCCAGAATAAGACTCAGACTGTATATGTTTAATAGAATTATATATGTATATGTATATATGTGTTTATATGCATATATATGTGTTTGTACATTTATTGTATATATGTAATATATTGCATCTATAATACATACGTATATGTATGTGTGTATATATATACATATATGTAATATCTGGGACTGTTGGCTGTCCAGTCAGCACCAGGCTGAAGTCACTGTATGAGCCTGTGAGCATTGCTCAGAGCTGAGGTCATGAATGACCAGCAGAATGCACTGTGCTTGTTAGGGGTGGGGATGTTCATTTTTATTTTTGTATCGCCAGCCGTATGGAGGCATAAGAATCATCTTTCTTAGGCCCAGGTCTGACCACATCACTCCTCGACTCAATAAACTGCAGGGGCTCCCTATCACCCCCAGGAGTAAATTTTAAAAAATCGTATTTGGCTTTTAACAACTTGTCTCCTCCTCCATTTCCAGTCTTCTTACACTTTATTCCCCTCTGTGTACTCTAAGATCCAGGTCACCATCTTTCTTGCATACACTACTCTGTCCTTTCTCTGCACCATTTCCCTGGCTCTCCTCCCACGCCTGTGATGCTCTTCCTCCTCATCTCTGCCTCCTGGCTTCCTTTCAGACTGAGATAAGAGGGCAGCTATAGACCACTGGCCCTAGAGTCAGGAGGACCTGAGTTCAAATCTGGCCTCAGATACTTACTAGTTGTGTGACCCTGGGCAAGCCACTTACCCCTGATTGCCTTTAAAAACAAAAAACAACAACAAAAAAAACTGAGCTGAAATCCCAGGCAGCTTCTGCAGGAAGGACTTTCTAGATCCCTCCCACTGAAGTACTTTTTCTGAGACCACCTTCCATTTACACTGTATACATCTTGTTTGTATGTAGTTGTTTACATATTATCTTCTCTATTAGATTGTGAGCTCCCTGAGGGCAGGGTCTGTTTTTGCCTTTCTGTATATCTCCAGCACTCAGCCCTGCTCCTGGCACATAATAAGCATTTAAGAAAGGTTCTCTGATTGACTGATTAGATGCTTAATAAGAATTCATTGACTGATAATGTTTTTGTCACTGGCTCATCAATGCCCAGCCTAGTACCCTATTAGCAACAATTCATGGATTGCTGACTGATTATTGATGGCTTTTCCTGGACTAGGGATTGGAAACTTTTGAATACTTGCTCACTGGGAAAATAGGAAAAAAGGAGCGGTCCTGCCCCTGAAGAACCACCCAGTCTTGTGTCCTAGCCAGGATGAATGAGGGGTGCGCAAGAAGGATGCCCCAATCTAGGGGAATGCTCTCTGTGACCACTAGACTTGTTGACTCATATATAGCAATGGGTCAACGTAGATGACCACTAAGGTGTCTTTCAACTCAAAACCCCATGACCTTGCCAGGGGCCAGAGCCAAAGAAAATGGGTGCAAGTTGCAAAGGGACAGCCAGGAGGTGCAATGGAAAGACCCCTGGGCTTAGAATCAGGAAGACCTGAGTTGAGATCCTATCTCAGACACATTAGCTGGGTGGCCTTAGGCTTATCACTCTCTCAATTTCAGTTTCCTTATCTGTAAAATGGGGATAATAATAACAGCTGCCTCAAAGGATTGTTATGAAGATCAAATGAAATAACCTATGTGAAGTACTTTGCAAATCTTAGGGCGCCATATAAATGCTAGCTGTTATTTAGGCTTGATGTTAGGAACATTTTCCTGATAATCAGTTATCCAAAGGTGGGATGGGCTGCTTTGGGAGGGAATGGTTTCCCCTTGCTGAAGGTCTTCAAGAAAAGATGGGATGGGGCAGCTAGGTGGCACAGTGGATAGAGATCTAGCCTTGGAGTCAGGAGGACCTGAGTTCAAATCTGACCTCAGACACATGACACTTACTAGCTGTGTGACCCTGGGCAAGTCACTTAACCCCTACTGCCTCACCAAAAAAAAAGAAAGAAAGAAAGAAAAGAAAAGAAAAGATGGGATGAAAAAAAGAAAAGATTGGATGACTTGTTGGCTGTGTGACCTGGGGCACATTGCTTAACCAATATCTACCTTAATTTTCTCATCTGTAAAATGAGGATAATAAGAGTGCCTACCTCCCAGGGTTGTTGTGAGAATCAAATTAGATAAGATTTGTAAAGCACTTAGTGTAGGGCCTGGCGTGAGGTAAGTGCTTAATAAACAAATGATTGTTAAAAAGATGTTTTAGTGGGGAGTCCTTTTTTAGGGACTGGTTGGACCAGTTTAACCACTGGAAGAGGTCTCTCTGCTCCAAAAGGGAGGTCTCTCTACTCACAAAATTCTAAAATGTTGTGAACTCTGCTCTTACAGAATGGGCCACTCCACCAAGTAGTGAGTTCTGCATTGCTAGACGTCTTTCAGCATGAGGTTGAATCACAGAACTTAAAGTCAGTCAGCCAGCATTTCTTAATCACTTTCAGTCATTTTTCAGTCAAGTCTGACTCTTCATGACCCCCATGTGGGGTTTTCTTGGCAAAGATACTATATGGGTTGCCATTTTCCTTCTCTAGCTCATTTTACAGATGAGAAAACTGAGGCAAACAGGGTGAAGTGACCTGGCCAGGATCACACAGCTAGGAAGTGTCTGAGGCCAGATTTGAACTCTGGAAGATGAGTCTTCCTGACACCAGGCCCCAGCGCTCTATCCACTGCATCATCGAGCTTCTCCCTTATTAATCACTTGCTGTATACTGGACATTGTATTAAGCGCAAGAGATACAAAGAAAGGCAAAACAGTCCCTGCCTTCAAGGAGCTTATATTCTAATGGGAGGAGACATTAGGTAAATGCCTTGGTATATGCCAGATGTATAAATGGAGGTGAATGGAAGGTTGTGTGAAAGGCTCTGGGTTGGGTGGGGGTGGGGGAAGGCTTCTTGCCAAGGAGGGACTTCAGCAGTCTTGAGGGCAGCCAGAGAAAGCAAGAGGAGATGAGGAGGGTGTGCATTCCTGGCATGGGGGACTGCTAGGAGAGATGCTGAAAAGGCTTAGAGAAGAAAAATGGAATGTCATCACTGAAGACACAACCCTTCCAAACGCAGGGCTCTCCTGCCATGTCTACATACAGACGATCAGCTGATCAACATTTGTTTGCTTTGACAATTGCTCATCTCAACCCGTTGTAGCATCAAATGCCATCTTTCACACCTAGTCTTTGTGGCCTTGGGTTTGGGAATGATAGCTACATTTTACAGATGGGAAAACTGTGGTCCCAAAGAGAGGCCTGGCTACAGGGAGATGTCTGAGCTGATGTAAGAGTTCTTCCCTCCCCAGTACCCAATCCCTTGGTGTTGTCTCTACTCTGAAGCCCTGAGACTCTGGGACAGCCTCCTGGCTTACCTCCTTCTTGTCCTCTCCTTCTCTCTGGTCCAGTTCAGTCCCTCCAGGGGCTGTGACTTTTAAGGTCACTAGAAGCTCAACAGTGCAGACCTACCTGGAGTATGACCCTAAGAATGTGCGCAGGCCCCCAACCGACGAACGTTGGCCTTTGGACGCTGATGTGGACGTGATCATCTCCATGGAGGCCGCCAGTAAGAGTGTTGATGATGCCAAGGTGAGAGGGAGGCTGCATTGGTTCCCTTCAGCAGACACCTGCACACACTCACCCACACCCACCCCCACACCCCCCCACACCCCCCCATACCCACACATACCCACACACCCACACCCAGCCACCCACCCACACACACACACCCCACCCCCACACACACATACACCCACACACCCACACATCCCCCCACACACGCACACACATCCTGCTGTCCGTATGCACCTCTACACATACATACCTACACTCACACACAGACATGCACATGCCTCCCTGCTCTCTTCATATATCTACTTTATACACACATCCTTACCTATATGCCTTCCCCAGCCTTCTCTATGTACTTAAGCACATAACCACACTGGCATACCCACCAAGGTACCACATAATTCTCCATATTTCTCCCACTCCCACTTCCATGTTGTCTCTCCCATTAAAATGTAAGCTTTTTGAGGGTAGGGAATGCTTTATTGCTTGCTTCTGTATCCTCATCACTTAGCACAATTTTTGGCACATAGTAAGCACTTGATAAATGTTTATTGATTAGTTCATTGATACCCACGCCCACATATGTCAATCTCTCCCCTACCCAACATATCCCTCAAGTCAATCATGTACACATATGTTCACGTATCCCCTTGTATCCCACATGGACATCAGCTTACAAGTATACACGCTGTGTAACCCACCTATATGAACTTTATTCTGCCATCCACAACCATTTGCACACACACACACACACCACACACACACACACACACACACACACACTCTGTGGGCACTCTTCATATACCTGACACACTTAAACATAAATTCACCTTTTCCCATCCCAGGCCTCCAGCTCTCCAGACTTTCCTGTTGGGCCAACTTGCTCCCACAATTCTCCCTTTCTTTCCTGAATCATCCAAAGAGCAATAGACTATCTGAACCGGGAGGGCCTTTAAAACATTGCTTGTTAGATTTGGGAGGGACAGCAGAATGCAGAACATCAGAGTTGGAAAAGACCTTAGGACACAGAGCTGAGTGGGGCCTTAGAACACAGACCATCAGAGCTAGGAGGGCCCTTAGAACTCAGGATATCAGAGCTGGGAGGGCCCTTAGAACACAGACTGTCAGAGCTGGGAGGGCCCTTAGAACACAGAATGTCAGTGCTGAGAAGGCCCTTAGAACAAAGGATGTCAGAGCTGGGAGGGCCCTTAGAACTCAGGATATCAGAGCTGGGAGGGCCCTTAGAACACAGAATGTCAGCGCTGGGAGGGCCCAGATCATCTAGTCCGGTCTCCTCATTTTAGAGGGGAAAGTGAGGCTACTCAGGGTGCTTTCCACTAGGTCTGCTGGCTCTGGGTTCTCACCACCCACCACTGAAGCGTCTAGCCCTTGAATCTAAGCAATGACTTTTGGGTCTTTGCACACTGGAAGGGTCATCCCTGTGTGCCTCCTGGCAGGTCAGTCGCAGCCAGGTTTCTCTGCTCCTCCGGCTTCTCTTGCTCCCAGCCTCCTGGAGCTTCCTGGGGGCATGGAGGCTGCATGTGATCAGACCCCGTGATGTTTCCACAGGTGCTGGTTTCTTACTATGGAAAGAATGAGAGCAATGCTCTAGGCCAGGCCCTGCTCTATCTGACCGGCATTGGTAAGTAGGCCAGAGTTACTGCTCTTCGCCTCTTTGTTTCTATACCTCCCTGATCGTTCTCTGGGGATGTTCAGCAGGCTCCTGCAAGGCAGCAGGTCTAGGACCCACTTGTGCACTAGATCTCAGGTTTGTTCCAGACTTGCTGTGTGATATTCAGTAAGGTGGTCAGCCTCTCTGAGCCTCACTTTCCTGACCTTCCAAGCAGATTCTGTCCTCTCTGCTCTTCCCACCTCCCATTGAGGTATTACATGAATCAGTAGGATCTTGCTGGTGAGGGATGTTAGGTTCCTGGAGGGAAAAGGATGTTAGTTAGTTCTTGTTGTAAAACATAAATGAAGACTGAAGAAGTTATAGATTCATAACACTTTGGAGCTAGAGGCCCCTTAGGAAACAGAATTCCAAAGCCAGAAGGGGACTGAGGGAGTAAAATGTCAGAGCTAGAAGGAATTTTAGCTTAGAACATAGAATGTCAGAGCTAGGAGGGCCCTTAGAGCACAGAATGTCAGAGCTGGGAAAGCGCTTAGAACATGGAATGTTAGATCTTGGAGGGCCCTTAGAACATAAAATATCAGAGCTGAAAGGAACCTTAGAACATGGAATGTCAGAGCTGAAAGGAACCTTAGGATGCAGAATGTTAGAGCTGAGAGGGGCCCTAGCTTAGAAGACAAAATGTTAGAAGTGAAAAAGTACCTTAGAATGTTGAATGTCAGAGCTGGAGAACTTTGAATGTAGAATGTCACAGCTAGAACATGCTTTAGCTCAGAACACAGGATGTCAGAGCTAAGAAGGGCCGTAGTTTAGAAGACAAAATGTTAGAAGTGAAAAGTACCTTAGAATGTAGAATGGCAGAGCTGGAGGAGAACTTTGAACATAAAATGTCACAGCTAGAAGGTACCTTAGCTTAGAATACAGGATGTCAGGTTGGGAGGGGCTTTAGAACAGAGACTGTCAGAGCTGGCAATGAACGCAGCTTGGAACGTACTGTAGAACGATCAAGCAGGAGGGGTTCTTAGAATACAGAATGTCAGCATTGGAAGGACAATGGAGTGTAATGAGCTGGAAGACTGCAGAGATCATTAGTAAAATATCATTTTACCGTTGAGGAAGCTGAGGCCCAGTAGAGAAAAGTATGACTATATGGCAGCAAATCCCTGATAATACTCTGCTCCCACAGGCTCCTGGTCACAGGTTCTCTAGAAGATTTGGCCATGGGAGCAAAGCATTCAGGCCTTAGGCCTTCAATCTTTCCGCTCGCCCCAACCACCAAGGAAAATGGCTCACAAGACATGGTTCTACCAGGTTTCCAAGGCACAGCCTCCGGCACCTTCTGGGACAGACCTGCTCTGGCAATCTGTAGCATGAATGGGGTGTCAAGGAAGGGCAGGAAATGTGGCTGCTTAGGATCCCACGGTGCCAGGGGCCTCTGCTCAGAGCAAGTGCCTCTGAGGGCTGGCTAAGGGTCCCTTTTCTGTGTGATTTTTCAGAACTGTCTTTGGATGTTGACACGGGTCGTACTGGGACAATAAAGAGAAGCAAAGTGAACAAGGTAAGCTTCTCCAGGGATTGCCTTGACCTGGAGAAAAACTAGCAAATTCTTAGGAGTTTTGGGAGGGATTGTAAATCTCTATCTACTGGGGGAATGGGGCACTGGAATTTCTGGAATCGATGATTCTCACTCTCCCCAAATCTGATCCCCAAGATCAAATGAGATAATATTTGTAAACTGCTTAGCACAGTGCCTGGTACACAGTAAGTGTTTAATGAATGTTCCTTCCCTGGAAGATACAGAAAGAAGGAAATGTGCATTTATTAAGTACCTACTATGTGCCAGGCACTATGTTAAGCACTTTACAATTATCTTATTTGAGCCTCACAACAATCCTGGGAGGTGGGTGCTATTATTATCCCCATTTTACAGGAGAGGAAACTGAGGCAGACAGAGGTGAAGTACATGCAGCTAGGAAGTATCTGAGGCAGGGTCATACAGTATCTGAGGCTGGATCTGAACTTAGGTCTTCCTAATTCCAGGTCCCGAGCTCTATCCACTGTACCACCTAGCCATCTAGGTAGAGTGTCCAGAACTAGAGAGGATAGTCTGGTCATACTCAAATCTTGTAATATTTCCTCTGGAGCACTATTGTACAGTTATGGGCACCATATCTTTCCACTCCTTCATTTTATGATTGTATAATCTAGTGTCTCATTCTCACCCATCTACATGGGCCCTGCTCTAAGCAAACCCAACGTAGGAAAATCCAAGATTCAAAGGCTGGTAGTCATCACCATTGACCTTTGCCTAGGATAGTGAGGAAATCTTTCCTTGACCTCTACCCCATTTATTCTACCCCCATGAACTTCCATATTTAATAAGTTGACAATTCATATTGTGTGAATAAAAAATTCATAATTATTCATAAATAATTTCATTAGTAATTACTATTAATTCAGAGATTACTTCTTATTAAAATTATTATTAATAATAACTTAAAAGACGTAATTACACTGATCCATACAATGACCAGCCATGGCCCTGGAGCACACTTGATGAAAAGCGCTTCCCATCTCCTGCCAGAGAGGGGAGGGATTCAGGGTGCAGAAGGAGACATGTATTTTTAGACTTGGCTAATATGGGAATTTGTTTTATCTGACTATGCATATTTGCTACAAGAGTGGGTGTTGTTTTTCCTTTTTTCAATAGTGGAAGGAGGTGGTAGGAGAGAGAAAAAGTAAATCATTGTTAATTGAAAAAAATTTTTTTAAAGCTAGCATTTATATAGTGCTTTAAGGTTTGCAAAGTACTTTACGTGTATATCATTTGATCCTCAGAACAACCTTGGGAGATAGGTGCTATTTTTATCCCTGTTTTACAGATGAGGAAACTGAGGCACAGCAAAGTTATGTGACTTGCCCAGGTTCACACAGCTAATAATGTCTGAGGCAGTATATGGACCAAGGCAGTCTTGTGGTCTCTCCACTACACCACCTAGTTCTTACTCTGTACCAGGTACTATAAGAGTCCCTGCCCTCAAGGGGTTTAGATTCTAAAGAGGGAAGATGATGCGCAAAGGAGATCTGGAGTTGGAACAGGAAAGGTGGGGAGGGTGGTTCCATGCAAGATTAGATGCCAGCTCCCCCATCTAATTCAAGCCCAGGGTCCAGGGGCAGAGAGTCGTGGGGAGAGGATGAGGATCAGAGTGGAGCTGGCCAGGGGGATCTTCCCTTCTCTGTCTCCCTCTCCTCTGCCTCTTCCTCTCCATCGCCACGGCTATCCCCCTAGTCCAGCTGCCACAGTAATGCCTCCCCTGGACATTAGAAGGCTGCAGCCTTCTCTTGAGTGTCTCTGCCTCCACTCTTCCCTTTTCCAATCCATTCAGAACATGTTTGATAAGAACCGACCCAAAGCATCCATTCAAACGCTTTCCGTGGTTTCCTATTGCCTTGAGGATGCAATAAAAGCTTTTGCCTGGCATCCGAGGATGTTCACATACTCCCTTCTGTCCACCTCTCCAGCCTACGGGCACTCCTTCTTTGGTCAAAATATACGACACTGTGTTTTCTGAACGTCAACCACTGTCTTCTTGCCTGAAAGGTGCTCCCCCTCCCCTCAGGCTTTCAGAATTTGGGTCTGCCTTCAAAGCCCAGTTTTGATGCCACCTCCTCCACGGAGCCTTCCCTGATGCCACCTTTGACCACAGCTGAAAGCATTTTTTCCCTCCTCATCTTTCTCTAGAACACTTTGTTCCTATCTCTCCTTTGCTTTGGTCACCCTTACCTTTTATTATTTGTTATGTCTTATTTCCTCTTACTCCATTCCAGAAGAATGTAAGTTTTTTGAGAGTAGAGATTTTGTAATTTTTGTCTTCCTATCCCCAGGGCTGAGTACAGTGCTTTGTGTCTAATAGGCCCTGACTAAATGATCGTTGAATGGAATTTAATTTCTTTGGCTGCAGAAAACATGGAGCTGGGGCCCAGGAGGCCATGGAGCAATTCTTTTGGTGAATTGTGACAGAGATAGTCCGGTCCCTGGGGGCGTCGACTACTCTCACAGCCACTTGTATTCACTGGCAGGTAAGTGGGAGGTGGGCAGCTGGGCCAGGAGCCCTCTTAGTCCAGGCTGGATGAAGGGGAGGTCCTGGAGACCACATCATGGGAGGGGAGGGAGCAGTCCCAGGAGATCCCTCCTCAAGCCTTACATCTCCTCAGACCTGCAAGACATGTCTAAGATGCTGCTCTGGACCAATGGCCCTGATGAGGTCTTCCACAACCACAAACTTGTCCTGCATGTGTCACTCAGTGACTCAGACAAAGCGCGTGTATTCCGTGCTCAAGGTGAGGAAGATATCTCCCAGCACAGTCCTGCTGGCCTGTCTCCATAGGGAAGCCTGTATTGGTGTGTGCAGATGGCCCAGAAAAGAAGCTCCCCATTTTTCTCTTCTTTCTCTTTCTCTTCTTCCCAAATGTCTTCTTTTTTCCTTCCTTCTTTCCTTCTTTCCCTCCTTCCTTCCCTCCTTCCTTTCCTCCTTCCCTCCCTCTTTTCCACTTTTCTTTCTCCCTTCCTTAAGAAAAGATTGAGATCCCGTAGTACGTAGTCTCACTGCTATGCGGACAAGTGATGGACCATGTAGCCAGGTCACTTACTCTCTGAGTTAGCCTTCTCATGTTGCCACTCCTGCTATGACCAGAACCTGGTTAATTGTATTCTCCTGCTATGGCTGGGACCTCAACCAGGTAACTTTTCAAAATAACTCACCTCCCTGTCCCTAGAAAAGATCCTTTTACTCCCTGATTTTGTCCTAGGTGGGAATCAAATTTCCAACTACAAGAGGGTCCTCGGACCTGACAAATTGTCATACAAGGTGGATCGGGACCCTGGGGAGCAGGAAATCACCTTCTATGTGGAGGGCCTTGCCTTCCCTGATGCTGATTTCCTGGGACTGATCTCCTTCGACCTCACTCTGATGGACACAGATGAAGTATGTCATCCTTGGAAATCCAGGGCTGGAGAGGCTGGTGGGAGGATGGGGTGATGGCAGTGGTTTCCCGAGGAGAACCTGGGAGCTGGTTGGTTGGCCTGAGACAAAGGGAGGTTTGTTTAAGGATGGCTAGGTGGGTAGGGGTACATGTCTGTATGATGTACATGCAGCTATCCAAGGTTGGGTAGAGACTCTGAAATTCACTGGCAATCTAGTTTCTAGCCAGGGATTTTGGGGATGAGAGACTTTGGCACTAGAAAGCTGAGGTTGACTTTCCAGCTGAGAAGTCAGGATGTTGCATCTGTTCCGACAGATGCTGCTTGAAACCCCAATTTTCACAGACACGGTAGTGTTCCGAGTGGCACCTTGGATCATGACCCCCAACACCCAACCGCCTCTGGATGTTTATGTGTGCAGGTGAGGACTGGCCCACTCCTTTCCCAGGACTCTTCAGTCTGTTCTCTACTTCTGGCCTTTGCCCTGATGTGGAAAAAAAAAAAAGCAAAGCAAAGCATCTCCAACCGCCTTTCAAACATCTTGAGCTGGATGTCCAGTAGACACCAAAATTTAACTCGTCATCTTTCCCCCTAAATCCTCCCTCCTACCTTCCCTATTACTAGTAGAGGGCAATATCTACCTCCCAGTCCCTCAGGCTCACAACCCAGGTCATCCTGGATTCCTCACTATCTCTTACCCCCATATAGAACCTCTTGCCAATGCCTATTTCAAAACCTCTTCAGACTCCCTTGTCTATTTCACTTCCCAGCCTCTCTGGTCTATTTCACCTCCCAGCCTTTCTTGTCTATTTCACTTCCTAGCCTCTCTTGTATATTTCACCCTTTTAGCATCTCCTCTATTTCATGTCTTGAGCCTCTCTTGTCTATTTCACCTTTTTAGTATCTCCTCTATTTCATCTCTGCAGACTCTCTTGTCTATTTCACCTCCCAGCCTTTCTTGTCTATTTCACCTCTGGACCATCTCTCCAATAAGCCACCTTCTCTCCTCTGACACTGTCACCATCCTGGTGCAGGCCCTCATCACCTCACACCTGAACTATTGCAATAGCTGCTGGGGGGGGGGTCTGCCTGCCTCAAGTCTCTCCCCACTCAAGTCCATCTTCCATTCAGCCACCAAAGTGATTTTCTTCCCCAATATGTACTCTTCAGTGACACTGGCCTCCTGGCTGTTCCATGAGCAACACACTCTATCTCTCTCTGCCTGTCTCCCATGACTGGAACACTGTCCCTCCTCCATTCTAACTACTGACTTCCCTGGCTTCCTTTAAATCCAAACTAATATCCCACCTTTTACAGGAAGCTTTCCCAGAACCTCTTAATTCTAGTAAATTCCTTCCATTATTTATTTATCCTATAGTTATCCTGCATATAGTTTTCTTTTTATAGATTTATTTACATGTTGTCTCCCCATTAGATTGTAAGCTCATTGAGGGTAGGAACTATCTTTTGCCTCTTATTGCTTCCCCAGCACTTAGCACAGTGCCTGGTACATATCAGGCACTTAATAGATGCTTATCAATGACTGATTGGTTGGTAAAAGCAGAGAGAACACTGGTGCAGGTGACAAGGACCTGGATCCAAATCCCACCTCTGATGCTCACTACCATCTGTGTGACCTTGGGTAACTCACTTTACTTTTCTGGGCTTTAGTTTCCTCATCTATAAAGTAAAAGGGATGGACTAAATGAGTTCTAAGGTCTTATAAAACCAAACTCCAAAGGAGACTGTCAGTCTGGCCATGAGAATTTCTCAAGCACCCACAGGATGCATATATCAGGAGATGGGGATGCCATGGGGTTGAAAGCAGGAGAGCTATGCAATTCTGTAAGTACTGATTAAGCACCTACTTGTCCTGAGAGCACTTCACTCCCTCCCTGCTTCAGAGATGAGCAGAGAGATCAATGGATGGAAGTTCTAGGAGTGGGGTGGGGCCTGGTTGCAACCGTTAGGAAGATCAAGAAGGAGACAGATAGAATGGAAGAGAATGAGCATTTGCATAGCACCATATGATGTTATTTCATCCCTAAAGCAACTTTGTGAGGTAGGTACTGTTACTACACCCATTTTACAGTTGAGGAAACTGAGGCAGGCAGTGGTAAAATAAGTCTCACAACCACTCTGGGAAGTAGGCGCCGTTATTATCCCCATTTTATAGATGTGGAAACTGAGGCAAACAGAGCGAAGTAACTTGCCCAGGGTCATACAGCTAATAAGTGTCTGAAGCTGGATTTGAACCTAGAGTCTTCCTGACTTCAGGCCCACTGCTATACTAGCTGCCTCGGACAGAAAGCTGGTAATATGTGTCTGGTTAGAAGCTGGCTTGGGTTGTGTGAGTATGGAAGGAGCAGTGGTGATTAGGGCGAGCCAACATTTAAGATATATTTTGGAGGGAGAATGGAGTGTGAGTGGAGCTGAGGGTGGAGGCTGGGAATTTTCATCCTGACTTGGGTCTTTTTCATGTGATCATTAGTATTGGGAGAGTAGGAAGAGTAAGCACCGGGCTAGAGTTTACGGCATGGTTACTAGTTTCCAATAGAGTAAATACCACAATAGAACTAATTTAATATGAGAAGTAGTTATTAAACACCTACTATGTGCTAAAAACCAGGAATACAAAGAAAAAAAACCCATGAGACATTATATTATATATATATATATATATATATATATATATATACATAATAGAGCCTTATGTAGAGAGAGCATTAAAGATACAACATTATGAACACTATATATACATACATATACATTCACACACACACACACACATATATGTATATAGTGTTATATATGACAGCATGTAAAGAGACAATGTTTACAAGATAGTTGGAGGAGGCCTGAACAGGCATTAAAAACCAGGGGAATCGAGAAAGGCTTCTCTTAGAAAGTGAAACCTGAATGGAACCTTACAGGAATTGAGGGATTTTCAGAGGTAGAAGTGAGGAGGCAGGGTATTCCCAGTATGGGGGACGATCTATACAAAGGCGCAGAGGTGGGAGATGGGGTGTCAGGTCGGGGAGATAGCAGGTAGTCCATTTTGGCTGGCCCGGAGAGTACCTGAAGAAGAGTAAGGTGGAACGAGCCTGGAAAGGTGGAGGGGAGCCACACTGTGAAGGATTTTGAATGCTTACCTAAGGAGCTTAGAGGGAAGGACTTAAGTTTCTTGAGCAAAGCAGTGACATGGTCAAAGGTGAGTGTTAGGAAGATGTTCCTGGGGGGAGGGGACATACTAGAAGTAGAGAATGGAGGGGTGTCAAATGACCAGTTCCAAGGTCCCTTCTAAAGCGAGAGTCATAAAATGGGAGATCATTCAGCTCATTCAGTTTCTTAAACTGGATCCACAGGATTCATGGATAGATTTCAGGAGGTCTGTAAACTTGGAAGAAAAAACCTCTCTTTAAATTGAGCATTTTTTTTAATTATTCAAAAACATTCTTCTAAGAAGGGGTCCCCTAGACTGCCCAGGGTCCATGACACAAAAAAAAGTTAAGAAGCCCTGCTTCTCAGTTAACACATGGGGAAACTAAGGCCAACGGAAGGGGAGCAACTTGCATGAGACCACAAAGGCAGTTAATTGTAGGAGGGTTAGCTGCTTCTGTTGCAGGGTTTTGGGGCAGGCATTGGATTAGCTCTAAACAAAGCCTCGAGCACTCTTCAGGGGGGCAACTGAGGGAGCCTGGACAGCTTCTCCCTTGGGAGGTCTTTGCTTCCCAGCTGATGAGCTGGTGCCTGGCCCTTCGGTTCCAGTGGGAGATGAGTTAGCTGGTACTCCTGAGTCTCATTTCTTTGCTTCTGGCCTTGATGTGTTGTTTGGAATGGGCCCAATCACTCCCTTTCCTTCCATGAGTCACAGCCCCTGCCTCCAGCTCGGAGAAGAAAATCTCCCCAGGGAGGTAGCTGTGGGTCCAGCAGGGCTGACAATCTGAGGTTCTCCCCAGATCACTGGGTGAGAGGTTAGGGCAGAGGCTGAGGCTCCTGTCTTGTCAGACACGAAGGGAGTGATCAGACAGGTTTGCTTGGTCACTGGCCACCAAAAGCCCCGGCTTCCACTTTTGCCATTGACTTCCTGGTTGACCTTGAAAATCACTTCCCCTCCTGACCTCAGGACAATCATGTATAATCATGAGGCAATTCCTTTCCAACCCTAATAGCACATGTTCTGACCAGTCTGATTCTATTTTCTGCAGTTTCTTTTAGTCTTCACTTTTTGTATTCAAAATGTTGTGTCTTTAATGTTCTATATTCTAAGGCCCCTTCCAGCTTTGACATTCCATGTTCTAAGGCCCCTCCCAGCTCTGACATCCTGTGTTCTAAAGCCCCTCCCAACTCTGACATCCTGTGTTCTAAGGGCCCTCCCAGTTCTGACATTCTGTGTCCTAAGGACCCTCCCAACTCTGACATTCTCAGTTCTAAGGACCCTCCCACCTCTGACAGTCTATGATTCTATAAGCTATGGTCTTCATCTGTAAGCCATGGATGGAACAACTGGACAGATTTCCCTTTTTATACAACAGACCTCATCCTTATCTTTTGCCCTTTGGGCCTCTTTCTCCTGATTTGGGTCTGCCTGATACCTGGTCTTCTCCTTGCCCCAAGTAGGTTAACAATTGGAACGCCCTTTCTAGGGTGGATCTGATTGCTAAATATGACAAGGATTTATTAATAACAGTCTTTGATATGACATTTTTCCCTCTTGGCCCAATCTTAGTATTAATGAGCAAGAAACGTCTCAGGCTGAATTTCTGGATGCTATGACCTACCTGGCATTGAGGGCTAATTGTCATCTGACCATCTGTCCACCGGTGGATAACCGAAATGACCGCTGGATCCAGGTAATCTGGGCAGAGGAAGAAATAGAGGTTTTGTGTATGTGTGTGTGTGTGTGTGGCCTAGTGGGGAGCTGGCTCTTTGAATTTTTCCTAGCGTTGACTGAACTTCCAAACACTTAATTTCTGGGACTTGACCCAGCCAGCTAAGAGAAGGGGGAGAGGGAGGGGCTGAAGAGGGGGAGGATGAGACCTACCCTATAGTGACTTCTATGTGAAGACCAAGATACATGGTCTCAAAACATGCCCTTGTCTTCCAAGAATGGCTCCTGCTAGGCTGGGCACTGGGTGAGACAAAAGAGGGCTGGGGTAGCAGATGGAGAGCCTTGGAGTCAGGGAGACATGGGTTCAAATCCTGCCTCTAACACATATTCCCTGGGACTTTCCTCATATTATTCAACCTCTAAGTACCCTTTTAGGTAACTCTTTGTTCCAGAGAAGTTTCTGATCTCTGTGAATGAAGAGTTCTCACACTGGGAATTTTCCATACTGGCAAAAGTGTTGGTCTGGACACCTCTCTCCTATCCCCCTCCCTGAAGGAAGCTGGCCTCTGGGAACGCCGGGGCCAGTGGGAGCTATGTTGTTTCCATCACCCCTTTGCCTCGCTCTGCCCTGGCCCAAAAGTCCCCACTCTGACGCCATTCGTTGCCTGAATGTTGCAGAATTCTCAGATGAACTGCCTCCTCACAAAGTCAGATTCCCCCTGTCTACCTTCTATCCCACCTCCTGAGCCCCGGCCCCAGGAGACCAAGCACTGGGAGATCTGGGTTCAAGTGCAGTCCCTAAAACTTGCTCATTTGTCAAATGAGCTGGGGAAGGAAATGGCAAACCACTCCAGTATCTCTGCCAAGAAAACCCCCAATGGGCCGCGAAGTCAGATATGACTGAAACGATTCAACAACAAACAGGCTGGGGGACCCTGGGCATGGCCCCAGCTCTCCCGCTTCCCCCAGAGGGCAGGGATCCTTTGGCTTTTGTCTCGGCATTGCCAGGACTAGGAGAGGCAGCATGGCGCAGAGGACAGCATGATGGGCTGGGAGTGGGCCAGGTTCAGATCCTGCCCCTGCCATTTACCAGCTCTGTGACTCTTGACAGGTCACCCAGGCTCGATGTGCCTCAGGCATCTCCTAAGTCTGAGCTCCTAATCCTTGAGGGAATCACAAATCCTTTCTATATTTCAGGTGTCTCCAGGCCCCTAGAACGGTACCTTACACATAGTAAGTGCTTTATCGGTGTTTGAGTGATTGATCAGTTGAATTGATTTGAATCTGTAAAATGAGGATGATAGAAAGGCACAATGGAGAGATTTGGAGTCACGGGTTGTTGGTGTTCAGTCATGCCTAACTCTTCTTGACCCCATTTGGGGTTTTCTTGGTAGAGATACTGGAGTGGTCTGCCATTTCCTTCTTCAGCTCATTTTATAGGTGAGGAAACTAAGGCAAACAGGTTAAATGACTTGCCCAGGGTCATGCAGCTAGTAAGTGTCTGAGGCTGGATTTGAACTCGGGAAGATGAGTCTTCCTGACTCCAGATCCAGCATTCCATCCACTGTGCCACCTAGCTGCCCCAGGACCTGGGTTCAAATTATGGTTCTGCCTTTACTGGTTCTACCAGTTCTACCTGTTTCTACCTGTGTGACCCTGGGCAAGTCACTTAAGCTCTCTGAGCCCCAGTTTCCTCAACTGTAAAATAAGAAACTTGAAACAGGTCTTTTCCAACTCTAGATCTAGGATCCCATAATACTCAGAGAGATCTTGTGAGAAAAGTGTTTTGTAACCTGAAAGAGTTCTAGAAATGGGGCCGCTTTCATTGGGTCATTGATACAGGGCTAGAAGTGAACTTAGAGAACCTCTTATCCAATGTACCTGTTTTATAGATGGAGAAATTGAGGCCCAGGGAGTTGGAGCTTGCTCACAGTCACATAGGTAGTAAGTGTCAGAGGTAGGGTTTGAACCCATGTCTTCTGACTTCAGAGCCAGTGCTTTCCCTGCCACACCATAATCTCTTCTATCTGACCATGGGGTGGTTGTAATTGGATTTTTTCCTTCCTCCCACTTCCTCAGGATGAAATGGAATTTGGTTACATAGAAGCACCTCACAAATCCTTTCCAGTTGTCTTTGATTCTCCTCGAAACAGGGGGCTGAAGAATTTTCCTTTTAAAAAGATCCTGGTATGTGGCAGGTGTCTCAGCCTATTCTGGACATTTGGGTATTCCATGCTGCATGTTCCGGGAATGGAGGTTCAATGCAGGGATGGGGGCTCAATGCAGGAGTGGTGGCTCAGTGCAGGGGTGGGAGCTTATTGCAGGGGTGGGGGCTCAATGCAGGGATAGGGGCTCAATGCAGTGGTGGGAGCTTGTTGCAGGGGTAAGGGCTCAATGCAGGGGTGGGGGCTCAATGCAAGGGTGGGGGCTCAGTGCAGGAGTGGGGGACCAAGGCAAGGGTGAGGGCTCAATGCAGGGGTAAGGGCTCAATGCAGGAGACTCAGCAGAGGGATTCTTTAATTTTCAAACCTGGTTCTCCCTTTTCCTCCTTGTCCAATTTCCCCCCACTGACTGTTCTCTGTGGTGTGGCTTTGCTCTCTTTCTCCCCAGGGCCCTGACTTTGGTTATGTGACGCGAGAGCCTATATATGGTGGTGCCTCCAGCCTTGACTCCTTTGGAAACCTAGATGTTAGCCCACCTGTCACTGTCCAGGGAAAGGAGTACCCACTGGGCAGAATCCTCATTGGCAGCAGCTTCCCCAAGTAAGGGGGTGGGCATGGGGTAGGATGAGGAGGGAAGTGGATGAGAGGTGAGACTGACTACCTATAACTCTTTCCAACCAGCACCAAACCCTATGACAAACTTAACCTCAGGCAGAGAATTATAGGATCATAGTTCTAGAGCTGGAAGGGACCTCAGAGGTTCTAGACCAACTCCCTCATTTCACAGAGGTGGAAACTGAGGCACAAGGTGACTAAGTGGCTTACCCAAGACTGCACAGATAATAAGGTCATAGAATCTTAGAACTTAGAAGATTAAAAATATAGAATTGTAGACCTTAGAATCATAGAATTTAGTAATCATGGAATTTTAAAACTCAGGAGCTTAGAATCACAAAATCCTAGAACTTCGACTAGTTGACATCTTAACATCATAGAATCATTGAGTCATCTGAGACATCATGAGTTATCTGGACCAACCTCCTTCCCAGAGCAAGAATTCCCCAATTATATCCCCAGTAAATGCTCAGCTATCTTGTGCTTGAATGTCTCTGGGGACATTTCTTTCAAGGCAGCACATTCCATTGGTAGATTTCAGCTCAATGCAAGAATTTTCTTATAAACCAAGCTCCCTGCCTCCCTAAAACATCTACCTATTGGTCTAGGATCATTCCTCTGGAGTCATATAGCATAAGTCACGGCAATGTCATATAGTGGAAAGAGTATGGTCTTTGGAATCAGAAGACCTGGGTTCAAATCCATGTAACCTTGGGCAAGTCAGTTAGTGACCTTGGAGCTCTCTTCTATCTTGAAATCCATGATGATATTAGAAGGTACATCTTTCCCAAGCTCACCCTTCAAATATGTGTACCATAAATGTTTCTTGTGTAGGCCAAATGTCTCAATTCCTCCAACTATCCCATTCATAAAACAATTCCTAGTGTCCTCAGTATCCTGGTCCTTCTACCCATATTCTCCCATTTTATCAGGGTACCTCTCAAAATGTGGTGCTCGGAATTAAACATGAGGGAGCAGTTCTGACATTCTATAGCCTAAAGACTTTCCCACCTCTAACAGATATTGTATATTCTAAGGTTTACTCCTAACTTTGATATTCTATGTCCCAAAGTTCCTCCTAGTCCTAACATTGCATATTCTAAGGTCCTTCAAAGCACAGGCATTCTATGTTCTAAGGTCACTTCTAGCTTTGATATCTTGTGTTCTAAGAGTTCCTCCCAGCTCTGACAGTCTATGTCCTAAGGTCTTTCCCACCTCTGACATTCTATATTTTAAGATTTACTCCTAGTTTTGGTATTCTATGTTCTAAAGTCCCTCTACACTCTGATAGTTGATATTCTAAAGCCCCTCCCAACTCCTACATTCATTTTCTAAGGTCATTAACAGCTCTGAAATTCTTTCATAAAGGTCCTTCCTAAGTTCAGACATTCTGTGGTCTAAGCTCTTTTTTTTACTTCTGATATTTTGTTGGAAGATTTCCTTCTAGCTCTGACATTCTACATCCTAATGTTCTTTTTCTAGCATTTTTGTAAGGTTATCCATTTTAGGCTAGCCTTAGGGAACTTCCCACTGGTGGTACTATGTGTGTTAACAGCGAAGGTGGTGATATTTTGAATATGGAGTGTGTGTGTGTGTGTGTGTGTGTGTGTGTGTGTGTTTGTGTGTGTGTGCATGCATGTGTGTGCCTGGGTGTATGTATGCATGATAGAAGTAGCAGCCTGTTGACTTGGTGAGTGGGAGATCTGTTGGGCAGACTTGGATAAAGGAAGGGGAAGAGACTCATTGATTCTTGCTTAGTGATCTCAGGGTTTCATGAAGGTGAAGAGAGGGTGACCAAGCAGCAAATGCTGCTAGAACAGAGCTTAGCATTCTCCCAACACCAGGCTGGCTTACCATGGGATGATTGAGTTGGTTAAGATGCCAGAATGACAGAAGTCAATTGAACAGGAACCCTGAGGGTTTGAATCTGTCAGAAAACAAGGCTTTTAGACTTAAATGACCTTCACTTCACTCCTCAGGTTGGATGTCACCCATGAGTTCTCAATGGGAACCCCCCAGGGAGCTCCAGCAAATAGACATCCACCCAGCACCTCTGGAATGGGGTGTGCTGTGGGAGGGATCCATGTGGCCCCTAATGAAGTCCTTTCCAAAAGGACAGGCTGTTTGAGCAGATGTCATTGTAAAGTAAGAGAAGTTTCCAAACAGAGTAGGGATGGGCCCCGGCATGTCACCCTGCTCCCCAACATTAGAACCTGGAGGCAAAGAGGTCAAAAAGTTCTGAGGTCTGGGAGAATGCGACACTGAATCTAAGCCTCTGAAGACCAATACCTGTCGGGCTCTTTCATCTCCAGTCCCTAGGACCGGATTGGGTGGGGGCCTCCCTCTGGCATGGGCCAAATACACGGAATGTAGCTAGGGTACACAGGGCTGAGCTTCTGCCAAGGTCAGGAACAGAGCACTCACCTCTTTGGTGACTCACATCTGAAACACTCACATTATGACTTGATTCTGAAATCCAGTGGCAGCTCCTAAAATAAACCCTATAGAACCCTGACGTGTATGATGGACTGCTTGCTCACTACTGGGCTCTTTCAGCCTGTCATATGGGGATATTGTTGGTTTGGGGGATGGCAAAGTTGATTTATAATCTTGTACAGAAGCTCAGGGTATAAGCACCATGGAGTCATGTAGGGGGTGAGAATGTGGATTTGTGGTAGAAGTTTCAAGGCTGTCCTCTAACCTTCCCTGCTAGGAGTGGGGGGCTGAGTGAGCCCCAAACAGCTCATTTATCCACTCCCAGAGAAAGAAAACCGATTATGAGAAAAGGAGAAGAGTTTGCCTACGATGTGCCGGGCTCAGTGCTAGGAACAGAAAGAATCCCTACACACAATGAACTTATATTCTAATGGGGAAGATAGCAAGTACATATATAAATAAATATAATATAAAATCAAGTTAATAAATACAAATTAGTTGGGATGGAAGTTGGTCTTCCTTACCATTTCAGGTCAGGTTTTCCAGAGGTCTCACAAGCATTACTTTCTGCCCTGGGTCTCCTTGTCCATCCATCTCCCCAAAGCCATCATATCTTTGCCTGTTGTTCTGTGTTGTGTTGTCTGTGAGAGGACCCAGGGTGCAGTCGAAAGACCAGTTGTGACTCCTGACCTAGGTTCTACTCCTGGCTGTGATATTAACTCTGCGTGACTTTAGCCCAGTTACTCCTCTCCTCTGGCCTTTGCAGGGTTGAGGGGAAGAGTTAGAATATGAGACCTCTGGAGAACTCTCTAGCTCTGACACTCTCTGTTCTAAGGGCCTTCCCAGTTCTGACATCCTCTGTTCTAAGGTCTCTCCTACCCCTACTATTGCATGTTCCAAGTTCTCTTCCACCTCTAACAATCTACGTTCTTAAGGCTCTTCCAGCTCTGATAATCTGTGGTCTGCAATAGCTGATTCTTTGGACGTGTGCTCCCTCTGGTGGAAGCCTCGATAGGAGTGGGGTGACCATTTCTAGACCTAGGGACTGAGTCCTGGGGACATCTCCACCCCTTAGCCTACAAGGCAGCCTTTAATGATGGGTTGTCAGAGGAAAACTATATTTGGGGGATTCCTTATCTGTTCTGTTTTCCATGCAGTTTTAATGACTTTTAGACATGCTTATGCTTCAGAGATGAGATCCCTAAGCTAGGAGGCAGGAGACCTGGGGTATTGTTTCTGCTTCCTAGTCATTGAAACTTTCTGGGTCTCACTGAACTCATCTGTGAAATGAAAAATAATTAAGTCCTGGACTTCCTGAAGGCAGGGGATTGGACTGGATGATTTGTTAAAGACTATCTGTTCTCTCCTCAGTCAGCAAGGTCCAGCCCCTAATTCCTTCCTTCCTTCCTTCCTTCCTTCCTTCCTTCCTTCCTTCCTTCCTTCCTTCCTTCCTTCCTTCCTTCCTTCCTTCCCTCCTTCCCTCCTTCCCTCCTTCCCTCCTTCCCTCCTTCCCTCCCTTCCTCCCTGCCTCCCTTCTTTCCTCTCTTCCTTCCTTCTTTTTTCTTTTATGAGACATATTTATTTAGCCTAAAGAAGACATATTTGCTCTTAATTTTTAGTAGTGAAATGTTTTTTTAAGTTCCATTGAAAACAATATAGAACATCAACAAACCCACCTAAACTTGTTTAGCAACTATTTACAGTTAAATGAATTCATTTCAATGAATAAAACATCATCATGTTTTTGACCTCACTCCCTTTCCCACAGAACCTCCTCCATTCCTCCTCATTGTCTTTCTGGTTTGGCGTCTGCCACACTGCTCCCCCTAGTATGGTCTTACCATCACCTCCTTACCTGAGGCAGAATCCCAAGCCCCACATGAAGAAATCCTGTTTTTTAGTTTGATGGTTAGAAGACCAGTAGATGTGACACCTCCATCCTAAACGTGTTTTGGTTGTATGACCTTAGACATGTCTGTTACTTTCCCTCTCTGAGGTGAGGCTATCCACCTGTCTTCTCTGGTAAATATTTTTCTCTTCTTTATTTGGGTTTCCAGATATTCTGAGAGTTACCTCTCCCTGTATCTCATATTTTCTCTTCCTGTTTATCATATTCTTTTCTGGGGGAAAAAAGAGAGGAGTGGAGAGTACAGGAGCTTTGAGGAAGGGGGAAGGGAACAAACATTTATTAAGTACCTTACTATGCGCCAGGCACTATGTTAAATGCTTTTACAAATGATTTCCTTTGAGCCTCATAACAGCTCTGGGAGGCACCATTATTCTAATTTTACAGTTGAGGAAACTGAGGCAGACAAAGGTTGAGTGACTTGTCCAGGGTCACACAGCTAGTAAGTATCTGAGGCTGGCTTTGAACTTAGGTCTTCCTGACTGCGAGCCCAGTGGTCTATCCACTGGGTCACCTAGCTATCCGATTCTCTTTGTGAAGAGAAGAAAGAAATGGTAAGGAGTGGAGAAGAGAGGAAAAAGAAAATGTTAATCAGCAAAAAGAGACAGGAAGACAAAAGAGGAAATGATGAAAGGGAGAGATAAGAGAAAGAAAATTAGAGTGAAAAGGAGAAGAATGAATGTGGATGAGTTATTGAATCAATAAAGTACAGAGTGTCCAAGTGAAGGTGTCAGGTCAGAGGGGTCTGGTGCTTATGATTTTGGGTCATTTCTGGATGGACTTTCCAGGGAGAAAAAGACAAAGGTGACAATAGTCATATGTTGGCAGATGTGTCCATGAAAGTACTAGTACATAAGGTGACTCTTTCTAGGTTGGCAGGGTTCCCATCTGTCCTGCTTTGCTGTGACAATGATTTGTCTCTCTTTGTGTTAGGTCAGGTGGCCGCCGGATGGCCAAGGTCGTCAAGAACTTCCTGTATGCCCAGAAGGTGCAGGACCCAGTGGAGCTCTATTCTGACTGGTTAAATGTGGGCCATGTGGATGAGTTCCTCAGCTTTGTTCCTGCCCCTGGACAGAAGGTATAATATCCCCAGCCTCTTCTTTCCCTCCTCAGCTTGGATGACTACTGTGGTAACTGTAAGTAGGCAAATTTAAACAAAATAGCATCAAGTTATGTGTTCCAGAACAGTGAGAAAGGCAGGGCTAGTGGGACTTTGTCCAGGGTGCTGAAACTAATAGGGCACATTTCCTGCCTTTGTCTCAAGATCCTCTATAGACCTATGCCACATTGCCAAAATTACCCCTGGTCCTTCACCAAGTCCTAGGCACACACCCAGATGCTCTTAACTCTCCTTGGGCCTGCCTTGCCCTCACCTTCTAGCAGCCAGTGGTTAAGAGTTGAGAATTATTGTCCATGCTATCCGCTCTATTGTCTGGTGCAGAAGTACCCAGGGCGGACTGTTCTCTACAGCGCTCCCATCTTCAACTGAATTTGCCTTCTGTACAATAACGCCTAGTCATGACTCTGCTACTGCAGCAAATGGGGGGAGGATGGCATCAGAGCCAAGGGATGGCAATCATGAAAGGCTTCCTGGAGGAGGCAGACTCTTCTCTGAGTTCTGCAGCAATGGAGGACTATGATGTGGTTGTTCTCAAAGATTTACCTTTGGCCAAGAAGCTCAGAGTTAATGTTTTTTTTTTTAAAAAAAGGATCTTTCTTTGAATACCATTACTTATCACTTGGATGACCTCGGGCAAATTACTTCTTCTCCCTGAGCCTCAGTTTCCCCTTCTGTAAATTGAGGAGGTTGGGCAGAATTAACTTTGAGGATTCTTCCACTTCTAATATCCCACGTTCTAAGGCCCCTCCCAGCTCTGACATTCTGTGTTCTAAGGCCCCTCCCAGCTCTGACATTCTCTGTTCTAAGGGCCTTCTCAGCTCTGACATTGTTTGTTCTAAGGCCCCTCCCAGCTCTGACATGCTGTATTCTAAGGCTCCTCCAAGCTCTGACATTCTGTGTTTTAAAGCCCCTCCTAACACTGACATTCTCTCTTCTAAGGCTCCTCCCAACTCAAACATTCTAGATTTCAAGGGCCCTTCCAATTATAGACTGAGGTGTCCTCTTTCCCTGTCAGGGTTTCAGGCTGCTCCTGGCCAGTCCCGATGCTTGCTTCAAACTCTTTCAGGAGAAGAAGGATGAAGGCCATGGGACTGCCGTCCAATTTGAAGGTGAGTTGCTATTAAACATAATCATATCTTGTCCCTTTCATCTTTTGATCTTTTTGTGTTTCATAAGCATCGTTTAATCACTGGGTCCAACATTAACATACCACCTGCATCTAAAGATCTCTTGGGATTGGAATAAACTTTAATTAATCCCCTAAACATCCCTGTTTGGGAGAGAAGGATGATGATTTTCCCTTTACAAGGGCAGGGATCTGTGAAACAGAGCAGCTGGTTAACTTGCCTGAGGCCATGAAGCATATTGGTGACCCTTTGGGGAATTAGAACCCAGAACTTCCATGTGCTTTCCCAGATATCAAATCCAGGGTCATAGGATTGTGGTACCATAGATAGCTTTAAGGCCTGATGGGACCTTAAAGGCCATCAACTCTGGCCACCTCCTTTTACAGATAAGGAAAGTGAGACCTAGAGAGTTAGGTGACTTGGCCTTCTAAAATAAAGTGTCTGAGGCAAGATCTGAACTCAGGGCTTCTGGGTCACACTACTTCCCATGTGGAAGAGAGTCTTTTTTCTTTGAGGTCCTTCCTCTTATATAAAAGATAGGGGAGAGATGGAAGGAGGTAGGAAGGTCTGGAGTGAAAAAGTAGAAAGAACTGGAGAGGAGAGGAGAACAAATATAAAGTTGGAAAGGAAAACATCAATGAATGTAGGGAAAGTGATGAAATGAAGATGGAAACACTGTGATACTTGGGTTGTCTTGCTGTGCTCCAATCTGATTTGTGAGCTTGGAGCAACTGTACTTTATATATTTGCAAAAGGAGGCTGGAGACTCGGGAGAGGAGAGAGCCCACAGGTAACATTTTATTGAGTCGAACCAAATTTGCTGAGTCCCAGGTTGTGGGATACCACCTTGACACAGACAAGTAGATTTAAGAAAATTTAGGGAAAGAATGTTAGCCTGTCTAGCACTTTTTGGTTCCTAGCTCTGTCATGTAACATGTTAGTTGCCATTCCCAGGCTGGTGTAATCTATAAATTTAATAATTATTCCACCTGGCCCTTCATTTAGGTCATCAATAAAATGTTGAAGGAGCACATAGTCAAAGAGAGATCCTTGAGGGGAGGATAGCACTCCACTGGAGACCTTCCTTTGAGCTGAGATCAGCCCATGAGTGGTTTCTTTCTGGGTCCAGCCTTTAACTAGTTCTCATTCTCCCTCTTAACTAAGTCACCTCTTTCCATATTTTCCATAAGGAAGAATGAAAGACTGGCAGATGCTTGGCTGACATCCAGATATACCATGTCTATGGCATTTCCTTGACCCACCTGGTTAGTCACCCTATGAAACAAGGAAAGGAAGTGAGGCTGGCCTGTTTTTGTTGAAGACACACTGGCTCTCCACAATCACCACATCCTTTCTTAGCATTCACAGACCATCTCTTTAATAGTGGGCTCTAGAATTTTGCCAGAAATCTAAGTTGAACTCACTTGCCTAAAGTTTGAAAGCTCTCTCTTCTTCCTTAAAAAAAAAAACTGGGACATTTTTGTATCTGGAATTTTGAGGCAACTTTCCCGTTTTCCAGAGTTTTTCAGAAATCACAGACAACAGCTTAGCAATCACTTCTGACATCTCTTTTAGTCTCCTGGAACATAAACAGTTCATCTAGGCCTGGAAACGTAAACTCACTGAAGGCAGCTAAATGCTCTCTTACTATCTTCTCCCTTGTTGTGGATCTCAACACCCTGTTAGCCATCTTTGTTTTAACCTTCCTAAGCTGGAGAGAGTTTTCTTTGGCAGAGAAAATAGAAAGTTAAGTAGTTCTGTCTTCTTTCTTTCTGTTGCTCATTTGACTCCCATCTGCCATGAACAATGGTCCTATCTCTAATTTGGTCTATTTGCCTTTTAAAAATTTTCATTAGCCTTCATTTAATAATAATAGCTAATACTTCCATAGCACTTATTATGTGCCCGGCACTGTGCTTTACAAATATTATCTCATTTGATTCTCGCAACAATCCTGGGAGGCAGGTGCTATTATCCCCATTTTACTGATGAGGAAATAGAGGCAAAAGAGGTTAAATGACTTACCCTGGAACACATAGCTAGTAAGTGTCTGGAACTGGATTTGAACTCAGATCTTCCTGAATCCAGACCCAGCGCTCTATCAGCCATACCACCTATCTGCCCCAGTGCATTTTGAGTTTTAGCATTCATTATACTATTCTTATAAGATTGCATCATAGTTTTATATTCATCCTCTGTTATCTGCCTTTGCTTTTATCTTTTCAATATGCCTTTAAAAAATCTGTGTGGGGGCAGCTGGTGGCACAGTGCGTAGAGCTCTGGCCTTGGAGTCAGGAAGACCTGATTTCAAATCCGGCCTCAGACACTTGTGACCCTGGGCAAGTCACTTAATCCCAATCGCCTCACCAAAAAGCCCAAAAACAAAAATCTGTGTGGATTAGTTGATCACCTGTGAATTCTTATTAGTCCCTATAGTAAGTTCTTTGTTTTCTTCCTCATTGAAATTGTTCAGGAGCAGTTAGGTGGCACAATGGATAGAACACTGACCCTGAAGTTGGGAAGACCTGAGTTCAAATCTGGCCTCAGACACTTACTAGCTGTGTCACCCTGGGCAAGTCATTCAACCCTGATTGTGAAAGAAAGAAAGAAAGAAAGAAAGAAAGAAAGAAAGAAAGAAAGAAAGAAAGAAGAAAGAAAGAAAGAGAAATTGTTCAGAAGAAAGAAAGAGAAATTGTTCCTGTTTATGTCCTCAGAAGAGAGTTAGTATGGTGGAGTTAGTGATGAGAGAACTAGCCTCAGAGCCAGGAAGACCTGAGTTCAAGCCCTGCCTCTGACACATTATGACTGTGTGATCCTGGACAAGCCCCTTCACCTCTCAGTGCCCTGAAGCAACTCTCTAAGACTCAAAGTCATAGCAAATGTGCTAACATGCCTTGATGGATGAAATTTCTTCAACAAGTAGTTCCCTCTATCACTGAAATGCTAGGTCAAGTACTTATCCATAAGTCTTCAGAATTCCTTCCAAATTCTTGACAGTTTCCCATTCTGTTTGGGCTGAATTTATTTTCCTCTAGGATATAGCCTCTCTCTAAACTCTTTGAAATCTTCCATCCCCAAATTGTGGGTTCACCTCAGGCTGCGTCCAGCTTTCCTCCCCTTATCCATCACAAATTCTAAGCTAGAGTAGTCTCTTTCCCCCAAGATTCCCATAATTTTGGTCCCAGTGACGCATTTCATCTTTTTGGTCAAAATCAGGTTCTATCAGTAATTTCCCTTGCTGCTTCCTCCACCTTTTGAAGGATAAAGTTATTAAGGCAAACCAAAGATTGATTTGTTGCTCTGCTTTTGGCAAAGAGAGATTCAACAGATAACTGTATAATTGAAGTACACCATTACTACTATGTTGTAGCTCTAAGCCAGGTTTGTGATCTTTTTCATAATCTTTTCATCTATTTCCTCCTGCTGGCTAGGTGGTCTGTAGTATATTCTATACAGTGTTCCTTCTGTTTCTCACCTTATTGATCAGAGGCAGCTAGGTTGCACAGTGGTCTGGAGTCAGGAAGAACTGAGTTCAAATCTGGCCTTAAACTCACGCTAGCTGTATGACTTTGGGCAGGTCTTTTGACTCAAGATCTAGCACTCTCTCCATTGCACCATGTCCTAGAGGTTGAATGTCTTCTTGGATTCAGAACTTCAAATACAAAGCAATAACAATAAACTTAATGCCTTGCTTTAGGACTGTTTCTATCTTAATTCTATGAAAAAAAAGATGAAAAGAAAGAAATTAATAGGAATAGGGACTAGACCTGTGATTTTATTGATCTAGTGAACTTTATCAATACAGTTTGTCACCTTCTCAAAAACTTAGAATCTGAGCAAGTTGCCTAGAGTGCTGAGAGGGTAAATGACTTGTCCAAGGTCATATAGCAAGTATGTGTCAGAGGCAGCCCTTGAACCCAGATCTTTCCGGCTATGAGGTTAGCTCTTCATGACACACTTCTATGACACACTATCTCTCAATACTTATAATAAAAATAATATTAACAGATGACAGATTGCCAGACTACTGGTGTAGATATCAAAATGTCTTTGTTAGTTCAGTCGGTAAAATGTATTAGAATCAGATGCTTATCCCGGATTAACCTATTGTGCACAATCACCCAGACATCACATTGACCCATAAATATTTCAGAATGATGTTTTTAATAGATGTTGTTGTATCAAATATTGATAATCTCCAAGCTATGTGGAACAAAAATTTTCAAAATACTCAGACCTCACATAAGAAATCAAACCCACGTGGGAACAAGATGAAGTCTCTATTCTTTCCATCATTCTGTGCACTCCTAGAGTGGTTCAGAGAGTGTCTTCCATGAGACTGGAGGTGAGCTCACATCCCAATACTTTTATTCAACTAGAAGAAAGCAGTTATTATATCCATCTATTCAGTGGTGTTCAGAGCATTAAATATAAAAGGACAATAAGAAGATAGTGACTTGTCCCAGGATCATTTCAATCTGGGCTACATCAAAAAGATGTGAATGAGATGATGATGACGATGATGATAATAATAATGACTACTACCACCACCACCATCACCACCACTACTACTGCTACTACTACTACTACTACCACCACGCCACTACCACCACCACCACTACTACTACTACCACTACTACCACTACCACTACTACTGCTGCTGCTGCTGCTGCTGCTGCTGCTACTGCTACTACTACTACCACTACTGCTACTTTTACTCTCCCACAGGGATCTAAGGGTAACATTTGTACCTACAGAAGTGGAAACTTTGGCCCAAGATAATTCAATTTAGAAAGTTTTCCTTGGGTGGGTGGGTGGGAGAGGAGGTGTTCCTCAAAGAAGGGGGAGCTTGCATTCCAAAAAGTGACTTTCTCTTATCCCTACCCCTGTCTCCCTGCTCTCTCCAACCAGAAGATTTATTTCTGGCTCCCACCCCAACCAAAGGACAGACAACTTGCTGGGTTGGAAAGAGTAATGACAAAGGACCTTTTGTAAATCCTAGTTGTGCTAGCTATGTGACCTTGATAAAGTCACTCTTCCTCTCTGGGCTTCAGTTTCTACCCTAAAAATGAAGATGTCAGATATCTAAAATATATAGAGAATTGATACAGCACCAAAAATCATTCTTCAATAGATAAGTAGTAGAAGGATATAAACAGTTTTTAAAAGAACTGAAAACAATAAATGACTAGATGAAAAAAATGCTCCAATAATAGTAAGAATAATGTAAATTAGAACAACTCTTTAGGTTTCACCTAGAACCATGTGAATTGGAAAATATGACAAATAATGGGAATAATCTACGCTGGAGGGGCTGGAGGCAGGCAGGCACACTAATACACCATGGTGAGTTGAGCTATGAAGAAGTCTAATCATGCTGGATTTCACTCTGGAATTAAGAAAGGAAAGTGATCATATTGTCCATCCCCTTTGAGTCAGTGATCCCCCTACTGGGCATTTGACCCCAAGAGGTAAGGACAAAAACAAACGTCCAAGTGATTGCAAAACATTCATAGTAGTATATTCTCTGGTAACCACAAAATGGCTGCCCATCTGCTGGGAAATGATTGAAAAAAATTGTGCATGCATAAAATGGAATATTATGGTGTAGTAAGAAAAGACAAATATGTCATCATATATGGTCACCATATTAGATGGTTTCCCTTAATTGTATTTCTTTTTCTTTGTTTTTTTTTTAAAGGTTCAGTATGGGGGGAGGGCAATGGCTATGATATGAAGACAAAAGACATCAATAAGACATTTTAAAAATAAAATGATGGAATAGACTAGGTGATTTCTAAGGTGTATTACTTCTAGCTTTGAATTCCAAGATGAGGGTTTGCATCAGTGCAGGGTGTTCATACGCTGAGAGTTCCCCACACCAGTGAAATCACAAGTCTGAACAACAAAAATTAGATGCTTCACCTTCACTTCCCACTGGAAATTTACCGCTGCCTCTTTCCTGCATCCAGAGTTCAGTTCCATCTGTTCCCTTTATCTTCCTGCTTCATCTTGTCCCAGTTTCAGATCTCTTGTTTGGTCTCAGGAAAATTCTGGTCCACATTAAAGAGACCCATACTCAAGGGGGATTCTGTGGCCACTGTCTTGCAGGATTGAAAAAGGGAAAGAAAGAAATAACCATTGATGAAATGCTGAATGACAAAAGCCTTAGGAGTGACAATCGCTATGCCCAGGTGAGAGATCTACTGAGGTGGGGAAGGAGGGTCTTTGGAACGAGAAGAGTAATCAGTCTTGAAACCCTCCTCCTGATAAACTAGTCTTACTGGCACTGTCCAGGGTGCTTGGGAAAGCTCGTGGGGGGTATGTGGGGGACTATGATAGTCCAAAAGAGACAAGTCCTGCCTTCTGAGAGCCATCAAGCTGAGAGAAAAGACTTTGTCTCTGCCCTTGAGTGGTTCTCAGCCTGAGGGGGTGGAGATACAGTCTTGGTCCTCAGAGAACCCCGAGTTGGGGGGTGGGGAGGAGATACAGGTTCTGCCCTCAGGGACTCCCCAGCCTAGTGAGGGAAGATTTAGTTCCTGCCCTCAGAGAGTTCTCAGTCTAAAGGGAATAGTAATCCCTGCTCTCAAGGATCTCTGAGTAAGCAGAAGGAAAATACAGATTCCATCTCTAGAAATCTCCTACCCAGGAGAGACACACAGAGTTCCCCAACTTAGGGAACTCCCTAAGGTAAAGGTAAAGGTTACCACGTAGATTCAAAGAACTAAGCTTGAACTATGAAGTTGCTAACCTTCTATCCACAAAGGACAGAGCCATAACTAGGAATCTTTGTGCTTTTGGCAAATGGCCCTCATTTTTGGCATGGAAGGGGTGATGAGAGACCACCCCCCTAGTGAAACCAGGAAGCAAAGATTGAAGAATACTGTCTGCTGGGCCAGTTACTTCTGAGGAGGCCACTACATATGTCAGGGTGGGGGGCAGCAGAGTGGGAGGGAGGACATCTATGCCCACCATCTGGTAGTTTACTATTTTAACTTATTATTCTTATTAATTAAGTGCTAAAATCTGTTGTTCCTATACTGCTAAAGGACTTTGAGCGTTGTTAGCACCCTATAAATTGGGTACCCTGGAGGCAAAGTCCCAGTTGTCTCACCTTAGTTATGGCTCTGAATGAGGTTGTTTCCTCTTTCTCTTTCCCCACTTTCCTTCTCCCCCTTCCCACAGCAACAAAATTAGAGAGCATGGACTCTAGGATAAGGACTCCAGGGTTAGGTGGGATTTAGCTTGAATGTCAGGGGAGAGGGAGGAGAGGGGGGAAGAGGTAGCTCTTGGGGAAGGGCTCCTGGAATGGGTAAAAAAAATCCTGGGGGCAGGGAATGGATCTGGGGGTATTGTTGGGGAAATCCATTGGGGACTAGATCTGATAAGAAAACCAAGGTTCAGCAAGGAGAGCTAGAGCTCCTACCAATGGGCTCCTATCGGGGGAATGTGATGGTAGTGGTGGGATCCAGTGTGTGTGAAGAAAGGAAGACCTTGGTGGAAGGAGCAGCCTTAGAATGGATTGGTGAGGTCCAATTGGACCAATGGATTGGTGAGGGCAGGGTCTACTTTCCTAGCCCTATATCCTCCCCAGCACAGAGTGCTGGATATTCCCAGAAGCCCCCTGGTCGAGGAACAAGACCTTCCTTCCTTTCTTCATTTTTATTGATGGGGGCCAGGGATTTAATACAGTGGAAGGAGGATTTGGCATCCAAAATCCTGGTTTTGAATGTAAGCTCTGCTAGTGACACGCTGTGTGACCTTGAGCAAGTCACTTTCCATCTGGATCTTGGTTTTCTCCTTTGGAAAATGAGTGGGTAGGAGATCAGCTTATCCTGAAAGTTGCTTCCAGATCTGGATCTGATGGTACTCATTTTCTATTCCCACACCATCCACTTCACACTGACTCCCTCGGATCAGAAATGCATTGACTGGAACCGTGAGGTCCTGAAACGGGAGCTGGGCCTGTCAGAGCGCGACATCATCGACATCCCCCAACTCTTCAAGCTCAGCGACTCCTATGCAGAGGCCTTCTTTCCTGACATGGTGAGGCAGCTGGCATGAGCTGTGAGGAGGAATCCTTCCTCTCCCCTTGGGGCAGGTCCCCATACTCCATAGTCCCCAGCTCCAGCAGAAGCAAGTGTGGAGGGGGGAGAGAAGAAGTCTGAGGAGGGGGAAGGAGTCTAAATTTTTTTAAAAATTCAAAAAATAACTTGGTGGAGTTCAAATCTGGCCTCAGACACTTGGTACTTACTAGCTGTGTGATCCTGGGCAAGTCACTTAACCCCAATTGCCTAAAAACTGAAAAACAACAACAACAACAAAGTAATTTGGTGAGAAGAGGTTAAAACATGGGAAAACCCAGAAAAATTGGAGAGAAAAACCTATTAAGGATGTTTTCCCCCTGTGAATCTTTTTGGATTTTTCCCAGAATCAATTTCATATTGATTCACTGCCTCACTTTGGTGCAGTGAAAGAGGATTAAATCTGGAGTCAGAAGACCTGGGTTCAAATCCTGGCCACCTGTGGGGACCTTGGACAAGACATTTGGGCCTTGGTTTCCTCAACTGTAAAATGAGAGGGTTGAACAGGATGACCTCTAAGGTCCCTTTCAGCTCTGCGATCCCAGATGAAATTCAACAGAAGGAATTAGGGGTGTTTAGTTTGGAGAGGAGAAGACTGAGGAGGAATATGGAAGCTACAGTTGTCTGAAGGGCAGTGGCATGGAGGAGGGGACTGTACTTTTTCTGCTTGGTTTCAGAGGCAGAATTCGGAGCAGGTGGTGGAAGCTGCAGACAGGGAAGATTTCTCCCCAAAGGCAGGGGAAAAACCCCAAATTCCTAACCATAAGAGTTCTCCCAAAGTGGAATGGGCTGCTTCTGGAGGTCATGGTTGGCCTGTCCTGGAGACCTTCAGGGATAGAACGAATGGCCTTATTTCACAGATGGAGATTGGACTTCCCTAGTTGGCATCCTAGGGCCCTTCCAATCTGAGATGCTGTAATTCAGGGATCTCTCGTTCTCGGGCTGGTGGGAGTGGTGCTGCTTCCTCAGCTCCTCCCTGCCTTCTTGCCTGCTTGGGAGGCTGAGCTCCCTTTTGCTAGCCAGGCCCTAATTAGCTAAGGGGAGCTGACAAGCCAGATGTGCTGATATGATCTCACTGGGAAGCAGAGGCCTTAGTGAGTGTGTCACTCCTGGGAGGGGCTGGGAGCTGATCTTATCAACTGAGTCCAGGAGCCCATTAAAGGCCTGAATTCCACTAGGAAACTCTCTGGGAATGTTCAGAGGCTGGGCATGGGGGAGGTTCGTAGCTGGAAGGGTCTTAAATCTAGTCCTGCTCTTCACTTTTACCGTTGGGGAAACTGGGGCTTGGGAAAGGGAAGCAACTCACATATGGTCACATACCTTGTATGCAGGAGGACCAGAACTTGAACTCAGGTCTCCTGTCTCATGGTTCATTGCCCTTATTATTATCCCAAACTAGGTGCCTTGAACCCACAGGTAGACTCAATTGGTGAACTCTCACCTTCTGAGTACAGTCTCTATGTCACTTCCCCTGTCTCTTCCCATTACAGGTCAACATGATTGTCCTGGGGAAGTTCTTGGGGATTCCCAAGCCCTTTGGACCCATCATTAATGGGCGCTGCTGTCTAGAGGAGAAGGTTGAGGACTTGCTGCATCCTCTGGGACTCAAGTGCACCTTCATCGATGATTACCTCTCCTACCACGTGTTAATGGGCGAGATCCATTGTGGCACCAATGTCCAACGGAAGCCCTTCTCTTTTAAGTGGTGGAACATGATTCCCTGAGCTGGCTCCCCTCCCACCGTCTTCTCCTTCCCCTCTTCCTCACAGGAGCATCAGCATGGGGAAGGGGATTGCCCACCTGTCTTGGAAAGAGGCCACCAACAGCATCTACAGCATGGGTGTCAGTCACCAGGCCCTAAGCATCACTCTAGGATATCATCGGGATTCTTCACTTTCTTCCTAGTGAAGGATGTCCCTACCTGGCCCATTCAATCTTCAATGAAGATGACCCCTCAGTTCTTCTTTTTGCTTTTCTCTCCAAATCCAATTGGTCCTTCTCAAAGAAAACTTAACAATCCTTGTGCTCTATCCCAGACCTAAAGGGACAAACTAGCCTATTGTGTGTGCATGTGTGTGTGTGCGTGTGTGTGTGTGTGTGTGTGTGCGTGAGCCATGCTGGATGGGATCAGCTGGTGTATTTTGATTTTTCCAGTTCCAGGACTCACGAGGGAGCATGGAATCTTAGAGCTAGATAAGATTCAGTTGTTCTCATTTTACAGAAGAGAAGAACTGAAGCCCAGAATGGGGAAGTGGCTTCCCAAGGTCACACCTCAAGTTAACGGTGGGAGCCACAGAGAGCAGAACCCAAGACTCCCAGAGCTGGAGAAGACCTGAGAATCCAGAATGAATGAATAAGGATTTCCTCTACAACACCCCACAGTGGTCATCTACGGAGGCTTCTACTTGAGTTCATCCACTGAGGGGGAGCCCACTACCTCCTGAGGCCAGCCCACATCTCTCTGGGACAGCTCATATTCTTAGGAAGCTTTTCCCCAGCATTGGCAGTAAATTATCCTTACCCCTTGCTCTTCTGCAGCACAGGTCTCTTATCTTCCAGGTTGTGGGACTAGCCTTAGCTAGAACCCCGCAGAACTTAGTGGTGTGGGTCCAGTACTGGCCAGCCTGCTGCCTCTTCCCGCGGTAGACCCCTTCCCAAAGCAGCTCCTTATGGATGTCTCAGGTTCTCTCTTTTTGCTGCCTCAGGGCACACTGGTTCTCACTTTACCTTTAGCCCATCGGATGAATGAAGGGAAAGGTCCTACAAAAAACAATAACAAAAAATACCCCTTTAATAGCTAACTCTGTTCCCATGCAGTGATCGCTACTTATTGGGGGGAAACCTGTAATTATGAACACAGCCTGTTTCTGGCCCCAAAGTGCTGAGTCCCTCGCAGCTGGTCTGCAGGATAAAGCCCAAGTCAAGTGTGGGGCTAGGGAACCCTGGGAAGGGATGACCAGGGCTAGGCTGAAGCTTCGTGTGTCCGGCTTGAATCATTTCACTGTCTTCCCACCTCCCACCCCCCACACTTGCCTGTGGGGGCTCCTGCTGCTGCTTTGGAATACAGATTGAAGACCAAGGACTTAGCAAGTCCCAGGAATTCCTGATCAGGCTGCTTTGAGCCTTGGGGCTGCTATGACTATTAACTGAGTTGTCTTGGCATGGATTTCAGAAAGAAAAGTGATGACAAGAAGTCAGCTCCATTTCTCTTTCCAAAGAGAAACTCTAGGTGGTGGTGAGGAGATTATCTTCCCCATCTCACAAATGAGGGAATTAAGGCTCAACCTGAGGAAGTGACTTGTTCAGGGTCATACAAACAAGATGGAGCCTAGATTCGCACCCACGTTTCCTGACTCCAAAGCCGGTTCTCTTCCCACTAAATGGGATCCTTCCAGAGATGGAGGGAGGGAGACTCCAGATATTCAGAAAGGGGGGAAACACATCGAGTTATCTGAGAAGGTGGGGCTTAATTCCTTCTAATTGTCCTTAATTATTCCTCTTCTTTCTGTAGGCAGTGGGAGGGGGAATGATCTTTCTTGATCTCTGCTCATGAGGGCCAGGACCCTGCATGTAGTTCTGGTTTGAGGCTCGATGGCCCTGGGGAAGTAAACCTGGTATTGATCCCAGAGCAAGAGAGAGGTCACTGGGTCATAGCATCTTAGAATGGTAGGTCTAGAGTTATAAAAGCTTGAGAGGTCAGCTAGCCCAACTTTTTACAAATGAGTAAACTGAGGCCCACTGAGGTCATACAACTTGCCCAAGGTCACACAAGTGGGATTTGAACACAGGTCTTCTTACTTTTATAGATTTTAATTTGGTTGATATGGAAAGATCAGGCTAAATCTAACTAGGCCTGGGAGGATGGTAGAGGACGGAAGCACTGAGGGACACTGCCTCTCTGCTCTGAAAGGTGACTCTCCCAGAAGAAGCCCACTCTAGATTAGCTTCAGATGCCTCCTACTCTCATTATCCCCTTGTTCTCATACTTCTGTTACTTCTGGGAGCCCAGGGACACAGAGTATCCGAGCTGGGAGGGGCCTTAGAACATAGAATGTCAGAACTAGAAGAGCCCTTAGAACATGGAATGTCAGAGCTGAGAGGGATTTTAGAATCTAGAATGTCAGAGCTAGGAGGACTTTTAGAACACAGAATATCAGAGCTGGAGGACTCTTAGAAGTCACCTATATCCTTTCCCATCTTCCCCAATCACATTTTATGGGTGTAGAACACTGAAGTCTAAAGATAAGAAATCCATAGGTTCTCAGATCTAGAAGTGGAAGCCAGGTTGCTCTCCCCTAACCTTTGCCCTTCTATTCCAACCTCCTCATTTTACAGATATAGAAACTGAGGCTCAGGTTAAGTGGCTTGCTCAAGATGATGCAGGATGTTAAGTGAGAGGCAGGGGAAGAACCCTTGGCCCTGGGCTCCAAAGCCGGGCTTCTTTTCTGTGGTATCATCTTTACCCTATGTCCTGCAAAGAGTTCTTGGCAGTGCTGAGACTAGAATCCCAATCTTCTGGTGCAGGCCACTTTCCATTGTCCTGCCGGTGGTGCCTCTGAGGATGCTGATAGGCCAGGGGGCAGTTTGGAAATGAACAAGCGGGGTGGTGCAGTGAATATTCCTTATTCCCACTTATCCCCAGCCCCATGATTCCCCAACCCAGCTGTCGGTTAGAAAAGAGTCCCAGTGGAGCCAGAAGACAAAAGAAAGCATCATGGATCTGAAGGTGTGGGGAAAGGGGGGGATTAGAACAGTTGGGATATTCCCTCAGGGGCCTCTGTCAGAGAGAGTTCTCTAGTTCCATGCCAGGACTCGGAGGGCTGTGTAATGATTCATGTGAGAGAAGGAGGAGGAGGTGGGAAGGGGAAGCCACTTGCCCTCAGGGCCGCTCACTCCCTAGTGCACAGACCTGGGGCTGTCCCCCAGCGATCCCCTCTTGGTGGGGATCCTCAGGAAGTCTGCTCTGAGAACGTTGCGGGATGATGGTCAATGAGGAGCCCACCACCTCTGGGGTGTTCAATAAAAGCATAAACACACTAACCTCTGATTTTGGGTCGGTCTCTGGGCGTCCAAAGGGGGTTTGGGAGTGTGAAACAAGAACCTGGCAGTGCCCACCCACGCTCACTTCTCTTTTCCTGCTCCCTATGTCCCCATCTCCCAGCCCAGCCCAGCTCAACTGTTACGGCCCCCTCTGCATGGAGCAGAACCCATCATTTCCCTCACTCGTGGAGAGAACTGGCATTACCAACAGCAGCTAACATTTGTATGGTGCTTTCAAATTTGCAAAGCTGTTTGCAAACATCAAGGAGCTTCGTGGCCCTGTGAGGCATCCACTACTGTTATTATTCCTACTTTCCCAATAAGGAAACTGAGCCTCAGTGGGGTTGTGACTTGTCCCATGATCCCACAGCTAGTAAGTATTGGAGACAGGATGTGAATTCAGATCTTCTTGACTCAGAGCTGGAAGGCTCCTCAGAGGTCATCTTGTCCAACTCCCTCATTTTACAGATGGGGAAACTGAGGCTTAGAGAAGCTAAGAGACTTGTCCAAGATCAGGAGCGATACCACACTCTTGCAACTATGGTTATCTCCATTTTACAAATAAGGAAACTGAGGCTCAGAGAAGTCAACTTGCCCAGAGTCAGGCAGCTAGTAAATGGTTCACCTGACTTCCTGTCTCATGCTCTTTTGATTAGGATCATAAGATCTAGAATCAAAAGGAACCTTAGAGACCTGGATCAACCTATTAATTTGGAAGGGAAGGGTACAGGGCATGTTGGTGAAACTGAGATACTGTCCCAAGGTGCCCAAGGACACACATGATAGCACAACAGAGATTCAAACCCACCTCCACTGACTCAAATCTAATATTCTTTCCATTCTGCATCTACCTCTCCGTAAGAACGCCATGCAGAGCATCATATCCATTGTGCTGAGGCTTCCTCTTTCTTCCTCCCCCCTCCCACCCATTATCCACAAAGTGCCAAGCATGCAGCTTATCCCACAGGACCCTGGGCACATGCCCCATTGCCCTCTAGCTGTGTCCCACCCTGTTGATGATTATCTTGGGAGGAGTGGATCCTCTCTTCATCTCTTCCCAGCCTCCAACTGCTTATCTCCTCCATCTCAGAGGGGACCTAAGGTTTTTTGTTTTGTTTTGTTTTGGGCAAGGGGAAAGGGGGATGGGAGGAAACTTCTCTCCTCCCTGGCCCGAAGGGCTGGGCTATTTCTCTTGGGCTGGCTGGGCAAATACTCAGTTGTTTCCAGGGCTCTCTCTTTCTGCCAAATATACAAGGTCATACTGGGAAAAATGCTGGATTGGGGTCAGAGGACCAGGGTTCTGGTTTTTCCACTTCTTTGGGTGACCTTGATGCTTCACCTCTCGGGCCTCAGTTTTCCTTTTCTGTGAAATAAGGGGAGGGGTTGGACTAGATTGCTTTTGAGGTCTTTTTCAGCTCTAAATCTCATCCCTTCAACAGTCAAACACTCAAATTTTCCCCTGATCTTATCCATTAGGTGTCCCCTTCAGAGGCACAAATTTCAGTCCACCCATGCCCTCCACAAAGTCCTCTCCTGATTCCTCCTTGTGTGAAAGTGACTCTTGCTTCCTGAGGGATACATCAATGAAGCAAAAGCCCTGGCACCCTCTCTTCTCATAAAGGCTTGAAGCACCACCCCGGCAACAGTGAGTTTCATTGCTTGCTCTGTGCAAGGTACTGCGTTAGACATAAAATCTAGGGATAAAAAGAAGAAAAAAGACAGATTCACTGTCCTCAAGAAACTTATAGTCAAATGGGAAGGGAGAAGATATATACAAGATGAACATACAGTCAGCCAATCGACAAACATTTATTAAGCACTTTTACTGATCTAGGCACTGTGCTAAGAAATACCAAAAAAGACAAGTTTAGCCAAACCACTGCCATTGCTGACTCCCAAACCCTTTCTCACCTGCCTCACTGGTGCCTGAAATCCCAATGTAAGATTTCTATTACTGTAGCTTAAGGCTTTTAAATAAATAAAATTTTATCTTTTATTTTTGCATCGCCTACTTTTCCCAATATACACCTCTTCTCCTCCATTCCCAGAGAGCCATCTGTTATAACAAAGAAAAAGAGAGAGGGAAAAATTTCATCAAAATAAACCAAAACATCTGAAAAGTCTGGCATTATAGTCAGTGTTCCAAACCCACTGTCGCATATCTCTTTGAAGGAGAAGTGGAGGTACCTTTCTCTCTCTCTCTCTCTCTCTCCCTCTCTCCTCTCTCCCTCTCTCTCTCTCCCTCTCTCCCTCTCTCCCTCTCCCTCTCTCCCTCTCTCCTCTCTCTCTCTTCTCTTCTCTTCTCTCTCTCTCTCTCTCTCTCTCTCTCTCTCTCTCTCTCTCCCTCTCTCAGCAATCAGGGTTAGGTGACTTGCCCAGGGTCACACAGGTAGTAAGTGTCTGAGGTCACATTTGAACTTAGGTCCTCCTGACTCCAGGGACAGTGCTGTATCCACTATACCACCTAGCTGCCCCTAAAGGTACCCTCTCATATCTCTCTTTTGGGGGAGAGGGTTAAGTTTGGTCATTAAAATTCTGTGGCATTTAGATTCAGTTGTTTTGTTATTGTTCTTTGTGTTTATATCATCTGTTAAGGGAATTATGATATATGTAATAAATATACTAATAATTTAGATTTCTCAGAGCTGCCTCTTCCAGCTTGGGAGTCAGAAGCTCACAATGCAGCTTGAAATGATCCATCAAACCCTTGACAATGCTCTCACAGTCACTACATTCCTGTGCCTGTGAACCTTAAGTGAATCAAACCAAAGATTATAGAACCTGTTCCCATCTCAGAACTCTTGTCATGTGCCCCACCAAGTAATCATGACCCCCAAGACTTGAAATGATACTGTTCCCACAGGACTTGAGAATGCCTGTAATGTCCTGAACTCATGGGGTTGTCCTGGCATACCACTCAGGCCCTGGAAATGATTGCATTGTAATCCACCTTTCCCCCTTTCCCACTTGTGATTTAGGTAAATAAACTGTTCCTTTACTCCAGCATGTAGAGCTCTCCTCGAGAGAACTTCTAAGGTCTGCAGACCCATCCTCCGCTCTGAAAGTAATTCATTAAACTATTACTTGTTTCCTGGCATTCCTGTCTCTGGCCTGCTTTGTGTGGCTCCGGCTAGTCTCAGGTTAGAGACCAGTCCTGTCCAGATTACATTTAAAATTCTGTTAACAAGTCTTAGTCCTTGTGTATATCATTTCCCTGACTCTGCTTAACTTCACCCTGCATCAGGTCATCTAAGTCTTCCATGCTTCTCTGTATTCATTATTTTCACAATTTCTTAGGTACGCTCACATACAGCAACTTGTTGAGACGTTCTCTGATTGATGGGCTACCCTGAAGCTTTGACCCTTGTTGAAATTGAAATCTCCCTGAGAGGGGCAGTAATCTGGGTTATCAACCATTTGCATTTTAACATGAAATAATTTAGCTTTTCCTTTCTTAGGAATAGGCTTGGGAACATGGAGGGAGTGGTGGGGATACTAGGCATCTGAGGACTGGCAATTCTCCATCCAGTCACCAAAGTGCAGGTCCAGCTATGTGGTGCCCATAGTCAATAAACTCCCTTGGCACCCTATCACCTCCAGGATCAAATCCAAATCTTTTGTTTGGCATTCAAATCTCTTTATAACCTAATCCTACCTTACATTTCCAGTTCCCTCACACCTTATACCTCACACATGTACTCCGATCCAGAAACACTGGTTTACTTGCTGTTCCAACAAAAAGGCTACCTATTTCTTATCTCTGGGCATTTTTCCCCCACGCCTGGAATGTCCTCCCTCCTTACCTCTGACTCCTGGCTTTCCTGGCTTCCTTCGGGTTCCAACTAAAATCTCACCTTCTATAGGAAACCTTTCCCTCCCCTCTGTTAATTATTTTGTAGTTATCCTGTAGTTATCCTCATTATCTCCCCTTTTAGATCATAAGCTCCTTGAGGGCAGAAACTGTTTTTGCCTTTCTTTGTATACCCAATCCTTAATACAGTGACTGGCACATAGTAGGGACTTAATAGATGCTTATTGATGAATTGATCTGAGCTGATTGGGGGAGGGGAAGAAGTACTAGAGTACAGGAAAGGGAGACTGAGGATGATGAAGACAAACCTCTCCTACCTCAGTTTTTTGATAAGCAGACCTTGCCTATTGGCTACCGGGCAAATGTTCACTCTGAAGGGATTGGTTAGTCAGTCAACAAGCATTTAAGTTCTTACTATGTGCTAGGTGCTGTGCTAAGCACTGGGAATACAAAGAAAGGCAAAAACAAAATTCCTGCCTTCAAGGAGCTTCCTTTCTAATGGAACAGACAGGCAAATAATTCTCTGTGTGTGTGTGTGTGTGTGTGTAATATGCGCACACAAGACATAGACATTATAAATAGAAGGCAATTTCAGAGGCATCTTGGGCAAGTCACTTCACCCTGCTTGCCTTAGTTTCCTCATCTGTAAATGAGCTGGAGAAGCAAATGGCAAGCCACCTCAGCATCTTTGCCAAGAAAACTCCAAATGGGGTCACAAAGAGTCAAATACAACAACAAGAAAAATCTCCGAAGGAAAGCACTAACAGTGGGAGAGGATGGGAATTGGGAAAGGTGCCTTGCAGATGGTGGATTCTCCAACCTGTGCCCAGAACCAATAGCTTTTCTAGCCAATTGGAACCATTTGCTGCTGACTTCTGCCCCTGGGGCTGAGACAACCATTCTTGAGAAATCCATTTTGCTGTTGAAAAAATTGAGATAATTTAAATTAAGACTAAGATTGGGTCAGGTAAGCCATAAGTAGAGTCCTTAGATAAATATCAGCCTGGTGTGGTGGAGTGGGAAAGGGCTGGATCAGGAGTCAGGAGACTTCAATTCTAATGGTAGTTGTGCTGCTAACTTACTGTGAGATCTTCCCTTCCCTTCTCTGGTCCTCAGTTTTTTCATCTGTAAAAGGAGAGGATTGGCAAATGGACTCTAAGGTCTCTTTGAACTCTGGCAT